CTGTGCTGATCTCACTTCTTATATTCTGTCCTATCTGCCTCGACCTCTCCAGACTCTCAGCTCTAGGAGAAATACTAGGTTTTGCCTTTGTTCCCACTCACTGTACCTCTATCTGCAATCAGTAGGCAGTAAGTTTAGACAGTCACAGGCCTCACCTAATTTGTTTCTCATCTTTCACAGATCCTTTTCCTTCAATGTTTTTAAGGTTTTTTTTTTTTTCATATATTTTGTCTGATTTTAAAGAGTTTCAGGAGGTGATGTAAATCTAATCTCTCTTACTGGAAACATAAATGTATAGGATATAATTGAATAAGAAATGATGAAATCCAGACTAAAAATTCCTAATTATTTTAGAGATGGTTGTGTGAGAGATAGCTTTACAAAGGAGGTCAAATTTGGACAGGTGTGGTGGCTCACATCTGTAATCCCAGCATTTTGGGAGGCCGAGATAGGTGGCAGTTAGGGGGCATCCTTGAGACTAGCCTGGGTAACATGATGAAATCCCTTTTCTACAAAACAGCAGCAATAAGGAGGTCAAATTTAAACTAGTCTTTGAAGGAGGGAGGATATTCCAAGTGAAAAATAATGGCATCAATAAAAGTACTGGAAAAGGAGTAAGCCTGGGTTTTTTTAACCAACGAGATAGTTTGGAGAATGACCTGATAAGATGGGTCAGAGTATATAGGGAACTAATAAAAAATTAGGTTGGGATCAGATCAAAGAAGTCTCTGAAAGCCAGAAGTTGTGCTATAATGCAGTGGTAGAAAGCCTTTAAGACGTTTTTAAAGTCTAAGCAGACTTTAATAATGAGCACAGAGTTTACAATTAATATAAACATTTATGTCCAGCCTATATATTTCTTTTAACTTAAATGCATCTGTTCCTTTTTCTGTCATTTGAATAAAATGAAGAGTGGCCTCATAAAACCATAGCTGGTATTGTTTTTTATCTAATACATTACATTTACATAACATTGGAGTAAAGCTATTTCTTAACTTTCTTTAGTTCCTTAATCTTTGTTCATATAACATATTTTCAATTGTAATTTTCATTATTCTTTTCAAGATGCGTCTTTTTTCTCTACTTCCTTTTCAAAATGACAATGATCAAAACTAGAATTACTAAAATGCTAGTAAGTTTGTTCTAATGTAGAATTTAGTTGAATGATTTGTTTATCAGATTCCTTTTAAATACCTGACAGTATCAGTGTAGATTTTTTCACAATAGCATTATACTTCACTTGAAAGCTATTGACATCCAATTTTTATACAAATTATTCATAGCTTCTCTGATTTCCATATTACAATCCTGTAATGTCAAGTCATATTCTCTTCTGTTTTAATATGATCATTTGAAAATTTATCAAACTCATTATTATGTTTCAGTCTTTCTTTGTTTCCTGGTATTAGTTATGTATCACTTTCTATTTAATAAAGGTTGAAGTTTTGATACATTGGGTAAGTTTAATACAGAGAAGAGAAAAAACATATTTTTAATGCTATTTTTCCAGTATTAAATAGCATTAAATGATGCTATTATTTTCCAGGATATGGAGAAGAAAATAAAGAAAGATATGGGGAGATTTATAGTCTTCTATAAATATTAAAGGGAAATATTAAATAAATTGAGGACAGACAAGACCCTCTTAAATCAAACACAGAGACAGAAAAATAGAGAACTAAGATAAGTTTTGAGATAGAAAGACCAGAAAGATGATGAGTTTAAATCAATAGAAGCAGTTTTAAGGACACTCTGAAAAACTAATTGGAAACTGAACAATTTGCCTAAAGCAGAGCTGCATAGGTATATGGAAACAGACAAAAATGTTTATATAAATCTGTTGAATGAGTACAAATTTGGTGAAGGAAAATGATTTTATAGTAAAAGGACTTATTTTGAATGTACAGGTATTTTTGAAAGTCTTCTTAAATAGGGGAAAATATTTATGAATGAAAGCAAAAAGGAGATATATAGAGGGCAGATGATAATTGTCGAGGATAATGAATCTCTCCCTTTTTCTTTTAATGTATGCATACTCCACTAGAAGATTAGATAATAAAAGTTCCTTAGAGAAACTACGGCCTTCTTGTATACAACAATGTGGATAGTCAGAAGGAGCTTCGTTTTAGACAGAACTAGGATATCTAGAAAATTATATACAAACAAGATGTTTAGAATTTGTTTAAAAACAATCTGAATTGATAGATCTCATTTGGATAAAGATAGACATAATGTGGAATAAAATTCACTAATATGAAATTGGATAGTGGGGTTGTTCGTTTATGCATATAAAAATATAGGTTATGAAATGTTTTAAAAGGGACACTATATGTTGTGAAAATAAGTGTAAAACTTTACAAAAGCAGAAAATTTGTCAAAGGTATAAATTAAGCTTGGAATAGAGGATACTCCAGATTTGTTAAAAATACTCTAGTTGCCTCAACTTCTTTTCTTTTGAGACTCCAGATTATGTTGAGAAAGGTTAAATGATTTAAAAAAAAGATAGCATAAAGGGACGTAAAATAATAAAATCTGTGAAAAGGATAAAAGCTCCCGGTGTCTTGGCTGAGCAGAGCTGTGCAGATCCTGAGCATTGAGTATATACCTCCACAAGCAGTTTGAATGGATTATGGACAAAACAAGAAATTACACAACTAACGATACTTAGCTACTCTTTTTTTCAGAGGGAAAAAGAAGTAATACATAGTAGGAATGGAACCTACTGACATTATTCAATTCCAATTGTAAAATATTTGCAGGAATATTTTAAAGTCAGGAGGGTAGCAGATAAGCCAAGAAGGCTTTTTTTGTTTGTTTGTTTTTGTTTTTTAGTGGAAGAAAATAATGGATCAGATACAATCATTGCTTTTGACTAAATAAGCCATAATTATTTTTTAAATATATTATCTACTTATGCTTTAGAGAAGAGGAATAAAATCTATTTGATGAATAAAAATAAAGGGGGGATACAGTACCTGGGCTCATTTCATTAGTATCTTGGCATCCCTCTCTCTTTTTTAAAAATTATACTTTAAGTTCTGGGGTACATGTGCAGAACATGCAGGTTTGTTACACAGGTATACATGTGCCATGGTGGTTTGCTGCACCCATCAACCCGTCATCTACATTAGGTATTTCTCCTAATGCTCTCCCTCCCCTAGCCCCCATCCCCGACAGGCCCCGGTGTGTGATGTTCCCCTCCCTGTGTCCATGTGTTCTCATTGTTCAACTCCCACTTATGAGTGAGAACATGTGTTTGGTTTTCTGTTTCTGTGTTAGTTTGCTCTTTTTACAAGATGAGTTATTATTATTTTACTTCTGCTTTTCTAAATAACAGAGACAGCAGATGAATTAGCAATGGAAAATAAAAATAGTGTCGTAGGGGATATGTTTGCGTTTACAAAGAAAAAGGGGCATTTGTGAAAGATTTGATATTTGTTAACATAAACATGTCAATCATTGTTGGAAAAAGAAAAATATGAAATATAATCTTTTTTTAAAGTGTATGTATAATGTATAAATATTTTGGAATAAAAATATTCATGTTTTTCCCTAGAGGGAAAATGGCTAGATCAGATCATCTCTTTTGCTTTAAAAAGCAATTTTAAAATTAAAATGAGAAGCTTAACTGGGGTTTATATTACACATATGTATAGGATCAATATTTTAAAAACTGCATTCTTAGTATGTTATGCCTTTTTCTCTTTAAATCTGTGAAACATAATCTTTTATTTGAAATCATTAAAATATGAAGGGGACAGAGTAACCCATGCTATTGGTTCTTATTGTATTACATTATTAGAAAGCATTTGTGTACCTGTCTTCCCGATTTTTTATAATGAAACATTTATATATTTGAAACTACAGACTCAATCTTGCTGAAATTTTCAATTTTGCATCATTATTAAATTGTATATTGTCCCCTTTTGGTGCCTGTCATATCTTTTTTGTTCATTATTCTTAATTGACAAATAAAAGTTATATATAATTTACCACATAAAACATAATATTTTAATCACATCATGGTAAATGGGGTATCCATCCCTAAAGCATACATCTACTGTGTACCCACAAAAATTAAAAATAAAAGACAAAAACTGAAAAACATGATGTTTTGAAATATGCGTATGTTGTAGATTCAACCTGTTATAATCTTAAAAGTGACTGTCATTCTTCTGACTTATATCAGTAGAACAACTGTCTATTTGTCATTCGTTGAGACCATCAGGGTGTGTTGGAAAAGCTAATCAACAGGAATTCTTCTCGAACCAGAGCTCTGTCTCTCCTCTGAATTGTGGCTGCACGCCTGTTAATTCTTCACTAGACCTTTAGGTATTTGGAGACAATTAAGTCTACAAAAAAGACAATTAAGTCTCACACAAAAAAATTGATCTTTTTTTCCCCAAACAAAGATAATTAAATCTCAAACTTGAAACTTGAAAGATAATTGGTCAGGCAGCAGCAATGTACTGAGTATAGGCTTCTCAAAGAGATGAAACAATACAATTAGTAGAAAGAATCCCTGTTGTGTACTTAATACAGTTGCTCTCTACTTTTCTTTCTTAACCTCCCCTAAAACAAAACCAAACCAAGATGCTTCAGTTAAGCACTATAATGGAACTATTAAATTATCATGAAAAGATATGTTGAACAGTCTAATACTCATTCTGCAGATGGGAAAATAGAAGTGCACATTGTAATTATTTTTCAAAAGAAGGTAAAACCTGATTATTGTGTCAATAAGCAAATGTATATACACTTAATCATTTTTATCCTAAATTAGTTTTAATTTCATCCTATTCCTGCAGTGAAAGAAAATATACGTTGTCATATATCTGGAAAGTTGTGCAGTTAATTTTTCTTCTCCTGAGTAATTATTCTGTTGGCTTTATGTTCCAAATATGTTGCCCTACATTAATATTCAAACAGAATTTTAGCACACAAAGATTTGTAACCTCGTTTTACCTTGATTAGTGACTCAACTCATGTTCTTGTTGTAGGGCTTTGACCAGCTTCGACTTGAAGGATTGCTTTGTGATGTGACCCTGATGCCAGGTGACACAGATGATGCTTTCCCTGTGCATAGAGTTATGATGGCATCTGCTAGTGATTATTTCAAGGCTATGTTCACAGGTAGTTTGCCTTTTAAAACTCTGAAACCACATTAAAACAATATGAAAAATCTGTGTTTAAATCTATTTCTAACATGAAATTTAGTTCTTTTGGAAACAGCTTCAAAAGGAGTATACAACAGTATGTATGGTTTTCGGTGGTGCTATTTTAACATGGAAAATTGATGTACTTTTTTCATACTGTCCATCTTTATCTCAAAGCTGTTCTTTCTCAAGCTCATATCTGCGTGGGCCATCAGAGACTCTGTGTCTTGCTAATACAATCTTTACTCCAAATCAAAAGATAGGAAGTGAGAACATTTTGGAAGCACTTGCATCATATATAACCTCCATTAGTATAGAGATTATCCTTTTTAAGTACTTTATTTTAAAACCATAAAATGTGCAGCAGACTGACTCTAATATGACTGCTTATATAAAATAAGACTGCCTTTGATTTTATTGCATCTAATTAGCAGCAGAAGTGAGTTTGACCATAATTATCCACCTTCATTTAATTGAATGTCCTTTTATTTAAGGTGGAATGAAAGAACAAGATTTAATGTGCATTAAACTTCATGGTGTGAGCAAAGTCGGTCTAAGAAAAATTATTGATTTCATTTATACTGCAAAGCTTTCTCTTAATATGGACAACCTTCAAGACACGCTGGAAGCTGCCAGTTTTCTACAGATTCTGCCAGTTTTGGACTTCTGTAAAGTATTTCTTATATCTGGGGTAAGATATTTTCAAATCTGATTTATCCTGTGGTAGACTCTCATGTAGCCTGTTTAGATTAGGACTCATAAAATCTGCTGTGCAAGCATGTGAAACTTGCCATTAGAGAGATGTGTCTTATAATATATGGTCTGTAAGCAAGATGAGATTGAAACAGGTGCATTTTTATGAAATAGAATTATTTAATAAAAGTCTCTGTGTAATCAAATGACATTAGATGCTAATAACGTTTGATAAAGATATATACTTCAACTGTTTGATAATGGTATATACCATAATCTGGTTTTATTCACCTTAATGACTTTATACAAGCAGACTTCTTAAATGTAATTCAATGGAAAAGTAATCTGAGCTTCTAGAACTCTTTAAAATGTCTTCCTTTAATATGGGATCTAGATCTCAAGAAGAACTAATACCTATGGGCAAATCTGTAAGAATATGAGTCTTGGCCGGGCGCGGTGGCTCACGCCTGTAATCCCAGCACTTTGGGAGGCCGAGGCGGGTGGATCACGAGGTCAAGAGATCGAGACCATCCTGGTCAACACGGTGAAACCCCGTCTCTACTAAAAACTACAAAAAAATCAGCTGGGCATGGTGGCGCGTGCCTGTAATCCCAGCTACTCAGGAGGCTGAGGCAGGAGAATTGCCTGAACCCAGGAGGCGGAGGTTGCGGTGAGCCGAGATCGCGCCATTGCACTCCAGCCTGGGTAACAAGAGTAAAACCCCCTCTCAAAAAAAAAAAAAAAAAAAAAAAAGAATATGAGTCTTGATTCCATAGAAACATATCACCTATTGAATAGTGTTTAGCTTTTTTTAAATAGATAAGATAGGGTGCATACAAATACCAATCAATGAATTACTTAGTGGAAATCACCCATTTCCTGAAGAGAGTGTTTTATTTTAGTTGAGACCCTTAAATTTTACTTCTGGGAAGATAAATGGCCACATTGGGCAGAAATATTGCCAAGACTTCCAGAGGATTTGGAGCTTGTTTTTCTGATTAAGAATTCTGGCAATAGTAATTTTTTGGTATATTTTCTAACTCATTATGTTGATGGATAGTTTTCTATAATTGTTTTTAACTCATATCAGTCTTAATGTAGGTAAATAATTGCTGTCAGAGCTTTACAACTTACATTTTTTGAACATGGAACCTTCTTTAAAACATTAACTTTCAAGAGAATATGAGCTTAATTATTTTATTATTAAGGTACTTACTATCTTGCAAAGTCAGCCAATAAATAACTTAACTGGCCTATTGAAAGTGTGTTTTTTGTATGTTTGTTTTCATTTTAGAAAACTCAGACTATGTCTCACAATTACTTATAAAATTTAAACTAAGTGCTACTTATAAGGGTTTTATGGCAGCGTGGTGCTATATTGTTGACTTGCATGGTCTTCTCTATTGCATTAAGTAGCCCAAGTGAAGTTGGTCAATTCCTGTGCTATTGCTTGCCTCCATTACTGAATTTAGGTGCTAAATTTTATTTTAATTTGATCATGCAAGGCCCATCCCCTCAAGAGCTATTAGGATCTCACCTCTGGTTGTGTCACTGGCATCATATAACAATTTCATTTCAAGGAAAAATGAATTGCGCTGAATGTGTTTTTCAGAATGCCTAAAGTCCTAAATTTAATTTAGTAGTAACACATAAAGCTTGCATTTATAGACTCTTAACATTGATTTACACTGATCTTAGCAACACATGGTCCTCCTGAGCCAAACTAGGGAAAGCACCATGATTTCTTTGGAACTAATCATTAACAAGAAACATTGTCTTCCTATCCTCTAATACAGAAGTTTAGTACTCATAACTTCAGATATTGATTGTGATCAGTTCATTTACCTGAAATAAAAGGACAAAACTGGATAATACATAATACAAAAAAGTTATAGTAATATTATCAAAATAATAGAAAATGATTTTGTTCTAGATAACTGTATTTAAAGCAATTTTAATTAAAGATGAGGCCACAGTAACTTTGTAATGCTGACAAATTTCCAGTAATTAGACTGTTGGTCCTTCACCTATTTTGAAACATTTATTATAATTGTTTAACAATTTAGAAATGTCTTCATTTTTATAAACACTTAATATTGCCTTAAATATCATGTCCTTTATTTTTTCATCATTTGCAGACATCCTAAAACCTGTTTCTAATGGAGAAGAGCCTTCTGTCTAGCAAAGATTACTTGTGGTAGAGTTTACTCCTACCTCTCAGTTTTAGAATTTTCTTGCCTATGAACTTTTAGGAATTACCTCTTTTCTTTGCATTATTCTACCTTACTTGTCCTTCATCCTTTTTTGCAGAGGATACGCCTGTGTGGTTTTAGACCTGAAATCTCTTCCTTCTTAGAATCCATGGTAATTTCTGAGAAAATCTGGCAGATTATTAGTTCCAGGAACATGCAAAATCCAAGTTTTCCTTTACCCTTCTTTCATACATTTTGTTTTTTAGTTAAACCTATGTTCGGCCTTGCTCTATTTATTTCCCCTTTTCTTCTCAGCAATCAAGTGAAAAAGGAAAAATAGTAGCCCAGTGCATTTTCTACTTATAAAAACTGAAAGTCTTAAGATACTATATTTTTTAAAGGAGTACTTTTTGAAGTTCTTCTATGAGATAAGTTATTATAGATAAATTTTAATATGATGTTCTCATGTTTAAGAACTGTGTGCTGAAATCAGATGTTTTAGAGGAAATAGGCTTTATGTTTTTAGTGATATAGTGAGATTATAGTTCACATAACCAAAACACTATTTGAGTTTGAACTTTTAGACAGAAAACTTCCCTTCTAATACAATTCTGTTCTATCCTATTTTCAATCATTTGCGTGGATGAAGAGGAACAGTGGTACATAAAATGTGAATGAGTAAATTACCCAGAAAACATTTATATATTAGTTTTGAATGATAACTTTAGACTCAGTAGTAAAGCCACACTTACCTTTGGTAGGATAGAGATACCAGTTTTCTATAATAGAACATTAGTCTTAATAGAACAAGAACCAACCTCCCTTCTAATTGTGCCATCCTTTGCAGTATTACGTAGGCTGGTGATTAGTGTTATAGTTTAAAGGATGTGGCATTTTTCTTTTTGCTATGTTATTTTCTTGGGAGTTATGAAAAAAAAGGATAATGGAATACATACAGAAGGATGGAAATGAAGGATAGATATAAAGCATAGTAAGTAAAAGTTTCTATAAAACTAAAACCACTTTTATATACCATGGAGATAATGGAAAATTGCCTTTGTTTAGTCTTACCTATAAAAATTGAATTGGTTTTTGTCCTTAGGACATTGTATAACTACAACATGTTAAATACTGTGCACCCATTCCCTAATTTATAAAAAAGTTGTGTAGGTTTTTTGTTTATCCTTTGTTTGCAATTTGAAATTTTTAGCATCTACCATTTGCCCAACAGAACTATTGTTATGGAGGATTTTAGGCTAGTTCACAAAACAGTCTAATTTAATGTTAGGTTGCTGAAATAGGGCATCTGCAATTGAAATCAAAAGATTGCAATTTAAATATACAAATATATAGAATGAACAAAACAGAATAAAAGTAAGAAAGAAACCACTTTATGTTTATATAAAAGTATTTTTTAATGAGAGAATGAAGATGTAATTGGACTTTAGACTTGGGGATAATCTTTCTTAAAATATTTTTTTAAATTGTATTCTCTCCCTTGATGCTGTTATATTAATGATTCCACCTGCATATTTGTTATCAGTGATGGGGTGGGGAGCTCACAATGAATTAGAAATTTTATTGAGGTGACTGGAGGTGATGAAGAGTTGGAGACAGAAAATAAAGTAGGTACATAAGTGGGAAGGAGACAAAAGACAGAGGAATAGGGAGAATGTGTTTCTCTCAAAAGAAAAACAAAAAGAATTAAGTCATTGGAGAAGACGCTTTCTTTTGCTTTGCTTCCATTACTAAATTACTCAGGATTTCCTGTATAGTACATATATTTCATATTCTTCATTTTATCCAAATTGTATTTATCCATAAAGATTAACAGACATGGTTTTTAAGATAGTTTTTTCACCTTTGAGGGCAATTTAATGGAAGTTAGAGACAAATTGTATAGATAATTAAAATTAAAAGTAAATCAAAACTCTTCCCCTCCCCCTCAAACCACTTTTTACTTCCTAATGGCCATACCTGTTGCTTATGATTAGCCATCCATTCTGCTTGGTTGATACCCATGTTGTGTGGTTGTTAAATATTCTAAATATCCCACCCATAACTTTGAGCACCCATTCTTGCCCATCTGCCATCTGGGACTCTGTTTGGGAAGTAGAGGCCTAGCCTGGGCTCAAACCACTTAAACCTCACAGAAGCCATTGTAATAACTAAAATTCCATTCAATAAAGGAAGTGCATTCAAAATGCAAAGAAATAGAGAATTCGATTTTTCGGGCTGGAGACACCGGTGGCATTCACCTCAAATAGCATATAGAAACTGAAGAAAGACAAAGACTGAAAGAGAGAGAGGTGTTTGTTAATCAATTATCCCTTTGTTCTTACCAAAGTGTCTCTTCTTTGTGTCCTGTGAACATCTCATCTGTGGAAGGAGGCTTGAGATAAGATACTCGTACATCCTCTACCCCATAAAGTGGCTAGTTTGATTTCTTCCCAGTCTTGTTCTGTGGACCTTATTTCATCCTCTGCATTGATTTTACTAGATATCAGGCTGCCATTTTAATGATAGCACCAAGTAGAATTTGGTACACTGAATGGCTAAGGAGTTCCCCAAATTTTTGTCAGATTTCTTAGTCTTTGCATTTCCCTTGAGAGTACAAAAGCAGTTACTGGCTGATCTGAGTGCAGTTAGGTGTTAGTTTACACTGATCACAAACAGTTAAAGATTCCTTTGTTCTTTCTTCACTCCTACTGCTTCAGTTGGCTAGCCTTAAAAAAAAAAGAAAGAAAAAATCAGGCACCCATTTTTTTCTAAATAAGAATTTCTTTGTATAAAACACCGATCTTTAAAAAATCCTACATTTCAGATGAAATCTTCCATTAAAATATCAAATTATGTTGATGACAGTGTTTTGGCATATCAGATATAATCTGAATAGTATAGCAGCAGTGAGGACCAGTATGTTAATGAGAATACCACTTGCAATGTTAAGATGTTGGAAGAGGCTTTAGGATGACTGCGAAGGTTGTTTGGTTGTAATGGAATAATTTATATCAAGGAAATGTAAGACTCATCTGTGTGAGTCTTTGCATGTGAGATGGGTCTCCTGAATACAGCACACTGATGGGTCTTGACTTTTTATCCAGTTTGCCAGTCTGTGTCTTTTGATTGGGGCATTTAGGCCATTTACATTCAATGTTAATATTGTTATGTTTGAATTTGATCCTGCCATTTTGTTACTAGCTGATTGTTTTGCCCATTAGTTGATGTGGCTCCTTCATTGAGTCATTATTCTTTACCATTTGGTACGTTTTTGCAGTGGCTGGTACTGGTTGTTCCTTTCCCTGTTTAGTACTTCCTTCAGTAGCTCCTGTGAGGCAGGTATTGTAGTGACAAAATCTCTCAGCAATTGCTTGCCCATAAAGGATTTTATTTCTCCTTCACTTATGAAGCTTAGTTTGGCTGGATGTGAAATTCTGGGTTGAAAGTTCTTTTCTTTAAGAATGTTGAATATTGGCCCCCACTGCCTTCTAGCTTACAGGGTTTCTGCCAAGAGGTCAGCTGAGTCTGATGGTCTTTCCTTTGTGGATGACTTGACCTTTCTCTCTGGCTGCCCATAGGATTTTTTCCTTCATTTCAACCCTGGGGAATCTGACAACTATGTGCCTTGGGGTTGCTCTTTTTCAGGAATATCTTTGTGTTGTTCTCTGTATTTCCTGGATTTGAATGTTGGCCTGCCTTGTTAGGTTGGGAAAGTTCTCTTGGATAATATCTTGAAGAGTGTTTTCCAACTGGATTCATTCTCCCCATCACATTCAGTTATGCTGATCAAGCGTAGATTAGGTCTTTTCACATAATCCCATAGTTCTTGGAGGCTTTGTTCATTTTTTTCAGTTTTTTTTCCTCTAATCTTGCCTTCTCATTTTATTTCATTGATTTGATCTTCTATCTCTGAGATCCTTTTGTCTGCTTGATCAATTTGGCTGTTGCAACTTGTGTATGCCTCGCGAAGTTCTCATGCTGTGTTTTTCAGCTCCATCAAGTCGTTTATGTTCTCTCTAAGCTGGTTATTTTAGTTAGCATTTCGTCTAATATTTCTTTAAGGTTCTTAGTTTCCTTGCATTGGGTTAGAACATGGTCTTTTAACTCAGAGAAGTTTGTTATTACCCACCTTCTGAAGCCTGCTTCTGTCAATTCGTCAGATTCATTCTCTTTTTTTGTTGCCTTGATGGTGAGGAGTTGTGATCCCTGTGAGGAGAAGAGGTGTTCTGTTCTTTGATGGTTTCATCCTTTTTGCACTTTTTTCCCCCATCTGCGTGGATTTATCTCCCTTTAATCTTTGAAGTTGGTGATTTCAGGAGGAGTCTCTGAGTGGACTTTTTTTCAGTTGAGGTTGGAGCTATATCTTTTTTGGCCTGTAGAGGGCGTGGCTGGGCTCTGTTGGGTTCAGTCAGGTTGCTGGGTGGGTGGTCTTTCCCTGTGGTTTGAAGGTGAGATGGGCCCCACCTTCCCAATGGCATCTCTCCTTTCCTAGCTGGATCTTCCTGGTTGGGGTCAAGCTGGTGTATTTGCTGCCAAGCTCTCTAGCAAGGGCTTCAGTTTGAGTTCTGTGGAGGTGGGGCCTGCAGGCCTTATGGTCTGTTTCCCCGCTTTCAACTCTGCTTCCCTCTGTTGGATGGTCAGTCCCTCTGGCGTTAGTCCAAGCTCCTGCCCAGGTCTCTGCGACAACTTGCCTCACCTGGTGGTAGCCGCTGCTCAGATTTGCATTGACTACCTACCGTCTGGCAGGGCTCTCATCGACCTGGGTTGCAGGAGGGATGAGGTAAGCACAGGATCCGAAACGGAGCACCGAGGGGGTTAAGTTCCCCAACCCTCCCAGCTGGCTGCAGGTTTCAGGTGGGGACACGCCCCCATCTTGATTTGCCCCCCTGGGTGGCTCTCACCCTGTAGCTCCTTCCTTGGGCCTAATTTCAGTGCCCTATCAGTCCCACAGAAATGAACCCAGCACCTCGTTTTGAATCGTGAAGCCCTCTATCCCTCTGTGTCTCATTCGCTGGGGAGCTGCATTCTAGTGCTGGCTTCTCTCGGCCATCTTGGCACACCTCCCTTCCCGCCCTCAGCGTTTTCTTTTAGTCAACCTTCTACTAGATTAGGTAAAGGTGGTTTGCAAATTATATGTATGTAGATCATTGACACATTTAGATAAGAATCCTTATTTGTATCTATATGGACATTAAAAACATAATTTATTCTTATTCTAGAACAGGTGTTTGTGCTATCAAGATGTGAGTGTCATGAAAGTAGTCATGTTTTAATTTTTTTTTTAATTGGCTTAATAGGTCACTTTAGACAATTGTGTTGAAGTTGGACGGATTGCCAACACCTACAATCTGACTGAAGTGGATAAATACATTAACAGTTTCGTCCTGAAGAATTTTACTGCATTGCTGAGCACAGGGGAGTTCTTGAAACTCCCTTTTGAGCGTCTTGCCTTTGTGCTTTCCAGTAATAGCCTTAAGCACTGTACTGAACTTGAGCTCTTTAAAGCTACCTGTCGTTGGCTTCGCCTGGAAGAGCCTCGGATGGACTTTGCTGCAAAATTAATGAAGAACATACGATTTCCACTGATGACACCACAGGAGCTCATTAATTACGTGCAAACGGTGGATTTCATGAGAACTGACAATACTTGTGTGAATTTGCTTTTGGAAGCCAGCAATTACCAAATGATGCCGTATATGCAGCCAGTTATGCAGTCAGACAGGACTGCCATTAGGTCTGACACCACTCACTTGGTTACACTAGGAGGAGTGCTGAGGCAGCAGCTAGTTGTCAGTAAAGAATTGCGCATGTATGATGAAAAGGCCCATGAATGGAAATCGTTAGCCCCTATGGATGCCCCAAGGTACCAGCATGGCATTGCTGTCATTGGAAATTTTCTCTATGTTGTTGGTGGACAGAGTAATTATGACACAAAAGGAAAAACAGCAGTTGATACAGTCTTCAGATTTGATCCTCGATACAATAAATGGATGCAAGTTGCATCTTTAAATGAAAAGCGCACCTTCTTCCACCTAAGTGCCCTCAAAGGATATCTGTATGCAGTTGGTGGGCGAAATGCAGCAGGTGAACTGCGTAAGTGTGCATTTATATTAAACATAGAGACAAATTTTTTCACCCAGAAATTCTTATTAAATCATAAAATAAGCAATCCTGTAAAAATCAGATAAAAATGTAGCTAGGGTCTCATTTTAAAAGTATATTTTCTGAGAAAATATTGGAGACCACCTCTATGCCTTATCTGGGCATATATATTGTTGGTGAGGGAACAAATTGTATCTTATAAATACATGAATATATTGTAGAGTATTTTACTTGTGCAGTGTATATGGTCTTCCTATTGAGGATTCATCTAAAAAGTATACTCAGCTAATTTAAATTATAATGAACTGTTGGATAGAAGTTTGGCATGTTTTCTTATTTTCTATTTTTAAAAGCCCACATGATATTTTACTGAACAGGTTACAGTCCTTCATTACAGACAGCTTTCATTGTTTCTTCTTTTACAGAATTTGTTATCTATTAGAGGCCACATAGATAATTTTCTTTGTAGATTAAATGTAAAGTTCAACATTATCCAAAGTTTATTCACTGTGAATATTATGATTTATGACTCTTAGTTTTAAAAATCATTCTCTTGATGTAATATCAGATAGTTTTCTTCACCATAAACCCATCTGGTATGCTTTATTTGATGGTCACTTTTTTGTCTTCCCAGTATGATTGGTCATAAACATACTTTGATATAGAAGTACTTTGGCCATATAAATTAACCATAAAAGGTATAATTTCATTATTTTAGATAAAATTGGGTAGTGTAACTTTTCCAAAAATAAAGGCAGGAAGTCCACCTTTTATGTTGTGACTTATGTATCTGTCGTTACCATTATTGTTTGGCCTTGTTTTCACTTTTATTCTCTATTATAAATAGAGTCCTTGTAGTTGACCAGTATTCCAGGCTCCATAGAGCTGAGAAAGTTCAAAATATTGGCATTGGCTTTGGATAAGTTCAGAGTAATTCTCAGAATCTTTTTTTTAATATTCTAAGAAAAAAAGATAGTTTAATGTGTTTGAGACTAAGCTATTTATCAGGGAAAAGAATAACTGTTCTCAGCTCTTACATTTTCCTGTTTATAAAACCCTTTCTTGTTAGTGACATGGTCTTTTTCCTGATCTTTTAAACCCAAAGTTTTTTCCTTTGTTGTTACAATGATATTTTTTTCTAAGATCAGACTTTCTAGATTGTTGGACCATGTTGCATGATCATGAGCTGCATAGGTTTTCCAATATATTTTAATAATTGGACTTTTAAAAGCACTTGAGGCATAAAGTGTCCTTAGTGTAGGATTGTCCTTTAGGCCTCCTCAGTCAATCCACACACATTATTTTCAAGTTATTATACTATTTTAAATTTGTGGTATCTGGTAATATCTGGAAGGTGCAAGTAGTGACTTGGTTGTTTTTTTAGAAAATCCCTGTATAAGATAATCTTCAAGAGTTCACAAATAATAGGTTGTCAACCTGGGCAGTCTTCTTTTCTCAAAGGAAATAGTTCCACTTTTCAAAGTCAGTCCTTGCTTGTTGATATTATCAACCCTGTTAATATACCCTTCAGCTACTAAGTATTCAACATATACTTTCTAATATTAATTAGAAGCCTTATTCTTCTGGGAGTTTCTAATCTTCGGGCCAAGGAGAGTCATTACATAAAACCAAGACACTAGACGCTTCTTTTTTTTTTTTTTTAACTTATCCCAACCCTCTTTGAATTCCTCCTATGTTATACCCAATTAGGAACTATAAATAGACCGCTCTGTTGGGAAAGTGGCGCATATACAGGTTTCTTTGCTCCTGACCTTCTGAAACCACCCCTCCATCTCTGATTAATAATAGTCTTCTGTGTTTTATTTTGAAAGGGAAAATAAGGGAATCATGCTTTTCTTGGGATATTCCTAAATTTATATTCAGGCTTTAAAAATAAAATCCCTAAAGCTTAATCTAAGGATAATACCTTAAAAATTTCCCCCGTAATGGTAAATATAGATCCATTTTAAACTTTTTTCATAAACTGCATTTTAAAAAATACACATGTGATTATAATACAGGCACAAACCATCTATACCAAGAACCTGAATTCTAGTTATCATCTAATTATTTGATAATTTATTCCATTTGAAATGATCTATAGATTACAAATCTATCATGACCTTATAGATTTGTTTTTTTTAAAAAATGGAATTTCTCCCAAGGAATAACATTTATGAGATTTCCTGATTTCTATCCATTTATCATGTTTCTCTTTATATAAATAAAAAGTGAATTTGTGTTAGTTGGCGTTTTGTTTTCTTGGGCCCATTGTTTTTGCAGAATGGCAGATTTTGATTCTAAAGAAACTCTTGCATGTATTTCTGAATGTTCCTGCCAGAAACTGAGTTTTTAACATTTTCCCTGCCCTACAAGTGCTTTCTAAAATAGAATTCCCCCTTCAATGCACGTACTAGCATCTGTTACAATAAATTAACATTCCCATTGTAACTGATTAAGTTGGCATGTTCATATGCTATGTAAATAGAAGGTGATGCCAATGGGTGGCAGGAAAAGCCAATTGTTGGGAAAGTCATTTAACAGTTTAACAGGTTGATTGGTACCAGTATATCATTTCATACAGTAACCATTGCCTGTATATAATTATAAAAAGAAAAATTTAGTGGATACAAAAAATAGAATGAATTAATAAGGCCTAGTATTTGATAGCACAACAGGGTGACTATGGTCAATAATAATTTAATTGTACATTTTACAATAACTGAAAGTATATATAATTGGATTATTTGTAATACAGAAGATAAATGCTTGAGAGGATGGATACTCCATCTTCTATGATGTGATTATTATACATTCCATGCCTGCATCAAAACATCTCATGTACCCCATAAAAACATACACCTACTATGTACTCACAAAAATTAAAAATAATTAAGAAAAGAAAACAGTGGCAACATTTGCAAGACTCTTTAGATCACTTTAATGTATTTGGCCTTTTAAAATCTTTAGATCACTTTAATGTATTTGGCCTTTTAAGATCTTTTCATGGGGTACTTGGACCAAAGGAAACCTAGGCCCATTGTACATCAAAAAAAGACTCTGTGTGTGTGTGTGTGTGTGTGTGTATGTGTGTGTGTGTATGTGTGTGTGTGTGCATGTGCACATGCATGCACTAGCCTAGCACACCTGTGCTCATCTGGTTTAGTGCTGAAATATAATTCCTTCGAAATGCTGCTTTCCTTTGATGCTGGTTACAATGGGAAACTAGGGGAAGCTTAGAGTAGCTGCCACTTAAGTGAAAAAGGAGTCAGTTATTTCTGGCATCTTTCCAAATTGTGTCATATAAGAAATCAATCTTCCACTGAGGTTTTGTATATTGAAGAAGAATATGACAGCTCCAATGTCTTTCATTTCATTTATATATTAATAAGTCAAGCTTTCAAATAAAAATAATGAAATAACTTACAGAAAACATGTTAGATGTTTTTCAATTAAATATACAATAAAAATACTAAAATTATTAAATGCCTCTATGACCCCCAAAGGATTTGGGGGTTTCTTGATCACTCACCAGCACTCTATGTTTCTAGAGTCCATCTCCCGTCTATGGGAGCCATCATTATTCAAATGATTTTCTTCAGGCCTAATCTCTTTCTTAATCTTAAAGAAAAAGTAAATTCCGTATCATCTTCTGGGACCGATTCTGGATTCCCATGGAATTACCTTGGAAAATAAGAACCCCTGATATATGTGAGATAAGCAGCCTAAGTAAAATTATTAAATTGGAGAGATTCTTTAATGTAAACACTAGGCCACTAGACTACTGAAGTTAATTCTCTAGATTAGGGGTCAGCAAACTTCTGTAAAGGGTCAGAAGGAGTCTCTTTCCACCTTTGTGGGGCATTCAATCTCTGTCATAAGAAATCAACTCTGCTGTTGCAGTGTAAAAGCATCCCTAAATAATTCATAAACAAATGAGTGAGGCTGTACTCCAATAAAGCTTTATTTATGAACACTTAAATTTGAACTTTATAGAATTTTTTTCAAGTTACAAAATAGTCTTTTGATTCTTTTTCAATGTATAAAATATATAAAATCATTCATATTTTTATCTTGTGGGCCATACAAAACAGGAAGTAGATTGGATTTGGCCTATGGACTGAGGTTTGCTGCTATCTGCTCTAGATTTTTCCAGTTGCCTCCTTACCATTTCCAACTCTCATAGACTGTGACTGAAGCACTGCTTTGTGCCTTGCATCATCCCTTGCTCCCTCTTCCCATCAGAGTTGTTGGTACTCACCTATATCTGAGTGTCTTGTAAATATGGAAAATAGAAATAAGAGCATGTATATCTAATTTTTAATTAGAGGTGTTCCATTTTAAAATAAAATACTGTTGATTTTACTGACAACAATAGCAATTCTGCATGGAGAATTGCATGACAATAAAATTTAAATGACTGAAACAGCTAAAGGAGATAGGTTTTTAGCTGGAAAAAAAGTTTAGAGGTGACAAACTACTATATAGTAATTTGGTTGTTGGTGGTTAATAGCTATCTTACACTGAGGGTCTCCTGTATGAGAAAGTATAGATGGATTCTTATAACCACTATTAGGGGAAAATGCAATTAAGTCATTGACAGAGGAATTATCTTTCTATGTAGGAAAATATGATTAATAATAAAAGTACATAAGTATTCAAATTCTAACTCCAGTATAAAAAGAAGAAGAAGAAACTAATGGAAGTCACATCAGAACAGTTTGAATTAAACATAAGAATCGATAGTTACAATCCAAAATTTCAAAGTTTAAGTCAGAGTCCTGCATTAAGAAAAAGGTAAAACTATAGTGAGTCCTGTCTTTGGCTTCAAGTAGATGGAGAAGATGATCTCTCGAAGTCTTTTTAGACCCTGTTTCAGATAGGATGTATGGTTCAATTACTTCTGAAACCGTCCCATTAATGACTATGCTAGTGCCAAGTACCAATCAATGCACTAGGTTTTCTGTTATGTGGAGAGAGAGAGAGAGATA